GCCAGTTTTGGAGTAGCTTATGGATCCAAAACGTGGCTGTTCAGATTTTAGGCGAATTTTACCATTTAATTTAGGGTTATATTTCCTATTTTATTTGATTATTAATTTTAGTTTCCTAGGGGGAATAAAGGACCTGTTTTTAGGGTTTGTGTGGGGGGCTTAGCAGATATATTGTTTGGCCGTCTACCATTTTTCTCTACGCTTTATTTTATGCAATTTTGGAGACAGAGAGAATTGCTAGGGTTTTGGAGATTTCCTACTTGAAGGTGTTTTTAATCCTTTTCTAAATAATATTTTCTATGATTTCAATTATGAATATGCATAACTAATTTCTATTGCTAGGGCGAAGCCTTGAGCCTTAGCATGAATATATGATTTTTATTTAATTGCTTATGATTGATTGCATGTATACTTTGAATTGTTAATCACCGGGATAAAAACTATCTAATTGTCTTAATGCCTGATCACCATTAGGATCTTTAGAAAAGTAATTTGATGCAATTTTGGTCGGAAGGTTCCCTGAAATTGATGCTGGCTTCTTGTGATTAATAATTGTAATTTCGCTTAGGATGAATACCACGTCTTAAGGATTGCATGGTTTTTCAAAGGGTTTTCATAAAGCATAATGAGTCTTTCATGTTCAGATTTGATCCGAACGTCCGGATGGGTTTCAAGTTAGATATACGTTCTATGTTGGAGGTTCCAAGTAGAATATAAATTAAGAAAACCTAACCTTCAAAGTGGCATGTGTAGATCATAAGTAATCGGTAAAAGTTCATAGGATTGCTAGGTGATGGTGGAATCCTAGTGTTTTCTTAATTTGATTCTCCCAAAACTGTTTTATGTTCTCTCTAGTTCTAATATTGCAGATTGTTTATTTTAATTCATTAATTTCGTTTTTATTTTAATTAGGTTATAAAATCAATCACCTAAATTTCTACTTTACAATAATTAATTGAAATTTGGTTTGTTTCGAATTATTTAATAATCCCTGTGGAGAATGACCTTGCGAACTAAAAATTTTTTTTTTTATATATATGTATAAACAGCAATAACTAACTGAAAATCTTATTAGAAGGAATTATTTTAAATAATCCCCATTCAGAGTTCTACACTTAAAGTTTGAAAGAGTATCTTGGGCAGTATTTTGAGCAGCTTAATGTGCCACAAGAGTTTTCAGTGGAGGACAAGCTCTCTAAATTGTTGGAATTAACTGACTTATACATTGAAATAACCAATGAAGGATTTCTGATTCAAGCATTAAATTATGGGAAGAGCTTTAATGATCAAGAAGAGATTGGTGCAGGAATTGAAGAGCAATCTGCCACCCATTCACGTCCATGGGAGAAAGCAGCACATGCTGATCTTATAATCCCACCAGAACCGAGTGCTACCCATGTTCCTGTGCCACCAAAACCTTTCCCACAAAGCCTGCAAAAAGACATGAGTGTTAATATGTTAGGGGGTTCACACAAATTCAACATCTAATATGTCGCATGATCAGCTCTCTAAAACACTGTTAGAGACAGGGCAGATGACTACTAACACAATTTATGTTGTTGAATTGGTCGGTCCAGCAATACAAGCATGCAAATTTGAAGAAAATCTAGGGGAGTCATACAAGCAAACTATGATCCACAAGGAAACAAAGAAAAAGCTTAATGGCAACTTAATTCTTCGTCAAGAAATTCGGCCAATGCAGAAATTGTGGGTGTTAAATACAAGGTTTAAGTCAGTTCAACGAAGACGTAAACGCTGTTGGAAGGGATCCTATTTTATTACAACATTTCATTCACGTAGAAGGGCTAATATGAAGGATTCAACCACTTCCCTGAAACACATAATTGACAAACATCATCTCATTCCGTGCCTACTGTTGTTGTATGATGCTATCAAAGAGTGGTTGATTACAAGAGAACAAGTGATGTGATCATCAATTCATTCCTCTACATCTAGCTATAGACATTAACTCCGCGCTTATTGGGAGGCAACCCAATTTTTCTAAATTCTTTCCATTATTTTATTTTTCGTTTGATTTTTTTTTTTAGTTAAATTTCTAGATGCATTTACATACCTATTTTTTAATAAAAAAAAATATATATATACAAATTATGAAAATAAATAAAAATTAAAAAAAAGTGAAAAATCCAAAAATATTTTGCTTTCTTTATTTACGCAGTTGATTTTAGCTCCGTTTTTAATATTCGCATATATTGGTTAATTGCAGGTTGCACTCATGGAAACTAAGGGAAAATAGAGACAGATTATCTTTTACTGGAATCATGCACCCAGCAGTAAGTCTACATTCACAGCAGCCACATCTCTATGCTAGAATTTAAGGCCATTAACATTGAGCTCATTAATAGATGCAAGTTTGGGGGTTATGAAATTTTACCTCCCAAATGCACATATCTGGGGTTCATTGAAGTGTGCGTCTGGGATCTGTGATGTCCAAGCCTCATCTCCCTTGGCTACTTCTGGCCAGATAGCAGAGTGGGAGTTCGTTGCACAACAAAAACAAAACCAACAACTTCATGAATAGCTGTGACAACAAGACTATTTTTCAGCAGGACTATAGCTCTCAGAAATGTTTCGCAAGCTAAGAGACATGTATATTGAATCAAATGGGAGATGATTACCGTTGCATGTGCGAAATGCTCTCTATCTAGATGCTTAGAACTCGAATCCGTGATGGCATGAGGCTTGGGAGACACATGGTTTGGTTGAGAAGAGATGGCGACTCAGGGCATTTTCCTTGTGTTGTTTGTCTCGGATTTGAAATTATTGAGGGTTCTCACACAGATAACACCACATGCATATGTTAGATCTTGTTACATTTTCCTCCAACAAATAAATCTGAACAGGAAATCAAACGAATTGAGAATGATTTACCTTGAGCATTTCAGTTTTTCAGATTTCCCATCACGGCTAGGTACTCCGGGAGGTGTGTGTGTGGCTGGGTTATTGGTTGCAGAACAGATGCAGCGCATAGCGAGGATAAGGGAGCAGCTGTGAACTGGAGGTTTGAATGGATGGCTGAGCTTAAAAGTTTTGAAAATGGGAAGAGATCTAAGAGAGTCTCTTCGGTTTGTCTAACCAGAGAGAATGATCTTGCGTTTCTAAGAGCAATGAAGAAGAAAGAGAGAGCAGTGATGAATTGGGGAAATGAGAGAAAAATGGTAGATGGCCAAGCAATATATCTACTAACCCCCCCCCCCCACACACAAACCCTAAAAACAGGTCCTTTATTCCCCCTAGGAAACTAAAATTAATAATCAAATAAAATAAAAAACATAACCCTAAATTAAATGGTAAAATTCGCCTAAAATCTGAATAGCCACGTTTTGGACCCATAAGCTGCTCCAAAACTGGCCAATAAAACTGGATTTAATGTTTGGAATATTCTGAACACTTCTCCGGAAGGCCACGAATCCATCTGAGGTCATCTTGGGCTCCAAAAACGCAATTTAAGCCCAAAAACGTCATTTTCCAGCACAACGCATCGCTCCTTTATTTTATCGCCAAAAAATGACCGCTTGGTGGAAAAATCCCAAATTTTGATAAGATCAAACTAAGTGACTCACGAACGTCCTCCAACTGGAATTACTCCAAAATTCGTCCATTTCGTCCTATTTTGCTCCAAAGGAAGTCGAAAGTCCCATATTGAAAATACAATTCAAAGTATCAAAATTCTTCCAAAATATTAACCAAAATATACTAAGATTATGATAAAATATATAATATAAAATCTACTCATCAAAATACCCCCAAACTTAGCTTTTTGCTTGTCCTCAAGCAAAACAAGAAAAACTTAACAAACTAGACAACTAGCTAAAACTCAACCAAGACAAAACTTCCACCTTCAAGTTGCAATCCATAGCAAATTTTAAAAACTAGAACATCTTTTCAGAAGTTCCAACCAATCTCACCACAAAGTCTAAGCCATTTAGAATCAATTAGAAAAGAATTCACAAACTTCCTTTAGTGTAAAGTGAACTAACAAAGTTAAGGAGAATCGACTAAAACACTTACCTCTCGTCCTTCTTTATTCCACACTTTCACACATACTAACTTTGAATATAGCTTCTTTTTTTTTCCTTTTTCTTTTTAATTTTTTTTTCTGTTTTTTTTTTTCAGTAATAGTAGTGGTCGTGCAATGTCGATTCACTTAAGCTCTTGATCCAACTCATGTAGCGAGCTTTAGGTCAATGACTCTCAAACCACTAGGGCTTTAGGGCACTAGGTGTAGAACACCCCTAAGGACTTATTAACCCGAGCTAAAAAGGCTACGAAACCAACTAACCACCCTGCCTCATGCCAAAACTCTACCGTTTGACGCCAGAATCACTACTGATTAGGCAAGACTGGCCCGGTTACTAGGCAACCGTAAACTGATAACACACATGGCTATAACAGTGGTTGAAAATGGTGAAACTGGAGCGTGGGGCAAAGACAGTTAGTTTGTCTTGGATGAAGCAACCGTGCTGTATGGTTTAGATTAGACTAGTACAATGTTAGGTTGTGTTCCTTGTCTTATTCCTCAATTGAGATAAGAATGTTGATTGTAAAATCCCCACTACTCTAATGATATATATGAATGAATGAATGCTGCTGCAAGGGAGCACACTACCCTCGCCAACTGGTCTAACGACTTTAACCCCCGTTTGCTTTCTAATGTTTTCTTGGTTGGATTTCAGCATATTTTTTCTATTATTACCCATCTTTTTGCTTAACCAGAAATCGTTACAAGGTATAATTTTCCTGTTTGAATTAGAAATCGAACCCTTGACTTATCGTTATCTTTTACCCATTTGGGATATCCCAACAGCTTTGCTTATAAACAAATTCACTTTCATTTACTTTTTTCATGCCACAAACACTCATCTTCTGAAATCCACTCTCTTTTAATTCTTGTTCAACCAAATTTATAACATGTTATAGGTTCAAATTTGAAATATAAAATAAACATTTGGATTCGAAAATGTTGGGAACACTTCAACTCGGAAACTCAAATTTAAAACTTCAATTATAGACAGATTGGATGTTCCAATATCGAGTTCGTTTCGGAATTCAGGCTTTCAAATTGCAGGTATAGTTTTGTGTAACTTCCATTGTGTTTTCTCACTAATATGCATACGTGTGTGCGAATATCCTTCTAAGATACATCTGCTTCCTTTGAAACATCATCTTAAGTTCATGCTTAGATTGGCTTAAAGAACACATGATAACATGATTAGTTCCATAACTTCCGCAACGACATGTTCTTAGTCTCCGTCTTCATTACCTTGGCAACTGCCATCTCAAAATCTTCCTGTGTCACATGAATCCTCCTCTCCCTCAAAGCAAACATCCCTGCTTCTGTGCAAACTGACTGCAGCAAGGTGAAAGACAACATGTGCTTTTTTAAAACGTGCACACAAACCCTGACTTCCTAAGAAATCCATGGGATACAATAAAAACAGAAATCAATACCTTCAGCTCTGCACCAGATGCACCTTTTATCTTCTCTGCAACCTTCTTCAAATCAATGCCTCGCATTAAATTCATTTTCCGTGCATGTATGTTCAAGATTTCCAACCGAGACTGCAATTTGTTATATATATTAATGAGTATTGTATGTTAATGAATAACCGATAAAATAGGCCGTGGTCTATTATGTTCATATCCTCAAAACTGTTATCCTGTCAGTGAAGTCAGTGAAATCTGTGCAATGATATTCTTTAAAATAAAATTTCTAACATTTTCTAAGAACTATAATTAAGTTATACTGCATGAATGAAACCCATAGACGAGATATAAGTAATCAATTGAAAGAACAAGCTTAAAACTAGACTTATGAATGCATCATCAAACCTATTGAAAGCAATAATCCCACCAGTATATGGACTTTCATGTACCTGTTCATTAGGATGTGGAAATTTAACCTTCCTGTCAATTCGTCCTGGCCTGAGGAGCGCTGGATCCAGCATATCAACACGATTTGTGGCCATTAAAACCTGTATAAGTCGCAATTTGAAGAGGATGGTGGTCAATTAAACGATAATGTTTACGTATCTTATAGTGTTTCGATATCAATGCATCCACATTCTCTAAAGTACCTTTACCCTGCTTGTTGCCTCAAATCCATCCAGTTGGTTGAGAAGCTCTAGCATAGTCCGCTGCACCTCACTGTCTCCTTTCCCACTACCAGATCCCGTACGAGCAGATCCAATACTGTCAATTTCATCCATAAAAATGATAGATGGAGCATGCAGCCTGAACAAAATAGAAAGTTAAAGGATGAAGTTAGTAACCGGGGAGCAGAAGTATGAGAGGAAATTAGATTAGAAACCTTAAATGTATGCCCCCATATTCAATTTTCATTTCATTCCGTTTCACAGGCTAGAAAGAAGTTGCATCGAGTGATCCACAATCAAGATCTTTGCAGCATTTAAACGTAAAACATGTATTCAAAGGTTCCCGGACACTCCAAAAAGCTATTGTTCCTTTATTTCTTCTAGATTCAGTTCCCAAGGGCACCGGATTTACATACATGCCCTTGACCATCCCGTAGTATGACTATATCAATACCATTGATGCCCAACATCACAATTGCACAAAAGCTTATTCTAGCTCAGACTTTCCCTCCACGAATTAGAGTCTCGCCATCAAACCTGAGCATATGTAAAACTCAAGAAATGGAGCAACGGAAATATACAAGGAGATAGCAAATGCAACATGTTGAGACAGGGAATCATGGAATCAAGAATAGTCCTCATAAAATGAGATGAAAACCAACCTAGCCATGAGAAAAACTGCTCTAACCATCATAGCACCTTGCCCAATGTACTTTTGGACTAACTCGGAACCAGAAAGCCTTATGAAAGTACAGTCTGTATGATGAGCCACAGCCCGAGCCACCACTGTTTTCCCAGTACCAGGTGGTCCATAAAGCAGGACGCCCTGATATATGAAGGAGTGAGTTTCAGGGCACTAACGTAACAGTTGGTGCCTACTAAGTAAGCAAATGAGCGAACAAAAATAACTTGGCAACATAGTTCTACCTTTGGTTCCGCTATACCAAGACGCTCAAACAATTCAGGATGTTTAAGTGGAAGTTCAATGACCTGGAAAGATGATCAATATGAATTGCCTAAGAATGTGAAGAAGAAATCCGCAGAAACCAAGCTAAATGAGAAAAAAATCAACCGGCCACTAAATATAAGTTCAGACAGTAGGGTTGTGCAAAATAAAACCTCTTTTATTTCTTGGATTTGCTTATCCAGACCACCAATCATTTCATAAGTAGAATCAGGAACATTTTCAACTTTCAAAACATTGACAAGAGGATCAACTTTTCTTGGCAGTATTACATGAAGAGCATAGGTCTCAGGGCGGAGAGCAACTCTCATTAATGGTTCGAGCATTGTGACATCAATATTTCTATCAATATTAACAGCATATTTTCCTCTTTGGCGAACCTGGAAATTGAAAAGAAACAGAAGTCGGTACTAAAAAAAAAGTACTGAATTTGGTATGCATAACTTCCAAAGTATCTGCAACGAACAAAATGTACAACTACTTACCAAAACCAAAGCCTTGTTCCTCTCGATTAATCTTATAAACACACCAACATAAGATGGACGCTGCTCCAGCAGCCGGAGTTCTTGCTTAAGAAATTTCACTGTTCAGTTTACAAATTTAACTCATCAATCAGCTATATTTGATAAAATCCAAGACCACCACCAGATCCCCAAATTTCATATACATTTCAACTATGCAAAAACGCGAATTGACCAACAACGTGGTTGGTAAGCATAAAACCAATATAAGTTTCTTGCTCTCTTAAGTACATATGAAGTATGTGATTGTTTTGCTTGAAAGTCGAAACAAACTGTTAACCAAAACCACTTTCGAATAATTTAACCGAAAACAGATTTTAATCTACGTGTTTTCCGTACCAAATTTCAGTAACAATATCTACATTCTCAGAAATCAGTACAAGGATCGAACCACAGTCGATAAACAAGATCACAGAGCAAGAATCAGACCAGCAAATTGACCCTAGAGAGAAATCGATTGTGCGAATTAGAAACAGAACTCGGGCGAAGAAATGGAATCTTGAAAAAGAAATGGAACCTTGATTGTTGAGCATGCGGGCTTCAGCATAGAGGCGACTGATACGGGGAAGCTTTTCGGTCCCTTGATGTATGACGCTTGCAATTTGTTGGCGAAGGAACGATTTGATACCATCTGCAACTCCTTTGTCCTCCGCAGCCATGGCTGCTCGATCTCGACGCCGATAGGATGCCTCCGTAGTCTGTATGTATAATTCCCAATAGGCCAAGCTTAAACGATTGGGACTTGACTTATATTCCAAGTCATCAAACGGTTTTTTATTTTAATTGGCGCCAAAAATAACAAACCCTTAAATTCTGTTAGTACAAATAACTAAATTTTAGCACACATCCCCTTCACAATTGTCTATCAATAATTTGGTTCAAATTCTCCTTACAAGAATCGAACTTAAGACCTCTCACTTACAAGTGAAAAGAAATATCACTAGACTGTAATACTAAGTGAGTATCAGGAAGAGGAACATAGGAAAATAAAATCATGGATTAGAGACGAATATGAAATACAGTTATAAGTTTAGTGAAAATTGGAGTAATTAATCCTTATTATATAAAAGTATATATTAATTTGATACAAAAATGACCACGGTAGTTTGCTCCGGTCTTGGCGTGTTGTGTTTCTATCACCGGTAGTGCTAGTTCGGCTTTTCTCAAGGTTAATGAGAAGTGTGACCCCAAGGAGGCTTTGCCTATCTCTTCCTCTATTAAATGGCATCCTCTTGACCAACATGATGCTCAATTTTGATAGTTCAATTTCAAACAACCCTACTCTGCTGCCTTTGTATTCTGTAATAGTAACTCACAGGTCATTAGGGCGAGGGCTCTAAATCTTGATGGAGCTACTATTTCGGTTGCAGAAGTGATGGGTTTGCGAGAGGATCTCCAGTGTGCTAGGCGCAAGGGTTTCACTAACATGGCGGTGGAGGGAGCTCTAAGATCATCATTGAAGTTGTGTGGTCATTCCTTGGAGAGTTAGCTTTATCATCAATGATATTCGTGTCCTAGTTCGATTTTCTAGTCATATTGATTGGAAACACATTTTCAGGAAGGCAAACTTTGTTGCGGATGGTTTTAAGTCATGGAGCAGCAACAAGGCTCCATGGTGGCTCACGGGGTCAGCTCGGGTTGCTCGACGACACGGCTTCTAGCCACTGCTCGCTGGGGTTGGAACCCTTCAGAAAAAACACTTTTTTTTTCCTTCTCTCTCATAATATCAATTTACAAAAATATAACAATATTAATGATATAATGCAAACACGATTTATTCAAAATCTATAATTCGAAAAGCGTAAAGTTGAGTTAATGTTTTATGGTGAAGTTTCATGCAATCAAGCTGAGAAAATATGGACAATTAAGATTGTTGATGCACAAAATCAGTGAGGACTTTGGTACAACATAAAGTGTTAAGTTTGTGACCTTCGCTAGATTGCTCCGGTCACTAGTGTGGATAAGTATGTAAATGGATAGAGACAAGGAAGCAAACACAAGATGTATGTGGTTCACCCAGATTGGCTACGTCCACGGAGTAGAGGAGTTCTCATTAATTGTGAAGGGTTTACACAAGTACATAGGTTCAAGCTCTCCTTTAGTGAGTACAAGTGAATGATTTAGTACAAATGACATTAGGAAATATTGTGGGAGAATGATCTCCCTTTATAGAATAGAGTTTCTAGCCTTGTTTTGACATTGACACGTGTTGTATTGTGATTGGCTTCCGACGTTGACATGTGTCGCGCTGTGATTGGCCTCCTGGTTGGAGGGAAACTCTTCTGGGTCCTTGACGGTATAACGTTGACCGATGCTCAGTAGTTTCGGGATTGGTCAAGTATGGTACAAACAGTGTCCCCCTAAGTTCCCGAGTGAAGGAAACTCCTCGGTTGGGGACTTGCAAGATCCAAGCGGCTACGTAATCACGAAACTTCTAAGTATCGAAGTGTAGTATCGTCTTCACTTGCCTTATCTGTCTCATAGGTAGATGTGGCTTCTTCTCTAGAAGTACTTTTCCTCCATCTAGGGGTGGTATCTTTAACCGTTAGAGATGCACAAGGTAATGTATCAATTTGACTGGAAGCTTACGTGTAGTTTCAGGCTTGGTCAAGCGTGATACAAAATGTAGTAGGAGTCCTCCAAGTCACCGAGCTAGGAGATTTGCCGAAAGAGGTGACAGTTAAGGTAAGCAATCAGAGTTCTAAGCAATCAGTCCCAGATCAAAAGCTTGATTTCAAGTTCCAGCTGATTGTTCTCATTCTCCCTATCTTGTAGGCAGCAAGAAGGATAAAGAGAAGAAAAATGAGAAGATAAGATATGAGATATTTTTGCTTTTGAAGAAGTAACTTTCCACAAGCTTATTCTTGAACTGGGCTGGAGGGTTTTCTGGTTTCCTCCAGAGTATAAGGCCGACTCAAGAATTTGAGGGTCAAAACAAGTCCATCAAATCTAGAGTACGTTCGACCCTGATGATATGAGATACTTTTGTTGTTGACAAAGTAATGGATGTATCGGCACGTGTTCTGTTACGCTTGTCTCCACATGCTTCCTTGTATCCTTCTTACTTGCCCTATCTGTTCCTCAGGCAAATGTGGTATCTTCTCTGGAAGCATAAGATGTTGAAGATGAAGTACTCGAGAGCAATGCTAGGTAAGTAATCAGGCAAGGGGTTCTAGGTAGTCAGTTCCTGACTAGAAGCTTGATTCCAAGTACTGACTGATTGCTCTCTTTCTCCTTGTCTTGCAGGTAAGAACAAGGCCAAAGGAAAAGACAAGGAAAAAGCATGATATGGGATACTATTGCTTTTAACCTGATGATATGAGATATTCTTGCTCTGGTGTAGCTTGTTTGCAGAGGTATTATCAGGGGGGAAGAAAGTTGAGTATTTCAAGAGGCTTCGTTGGGAGTGCCCTCTCAAATATGAGGAAGGGTTGAGCATTTTTTCAGGTCTTCTTGTCAATTGAGGATGGAGGTCGACATATATAGGAGTCTCCCTAACAACAAGTAGTAATGTTATTCCTTTACCCTTCTTGGTCATAGCAATATAGTGGGAGCTGCAAGCTTTACGTGTTTTAACTTTGTCAGATTACTTTGAAAAAAATGGTCTGTGGTATCTGGAAAGCTGATGTTGCGTGTGAAGATTGCAGACAAGCTTTATCCAAGGAAATCTGGCTCTCGAAGTTCAGAGAATGGTGCTTCTTCGATTTTTGAACAAGCAATCCTATCGAGGATCTAGCTCTCGAGATTCGGAGAGCGGTGTCTCTTTGATTTTTGAGAAAGTAATCCTGTTGGGAGTCTGGCTCTCGAGATTCGAAGGGCGGTGCCTCTTCGATTTTTTGAGCAAGCAATTCTGTTGGGAATCTGGTTCTTGAGATTCGGAGAGCAGTGCCTCTTCAATTTTTGAGCAAGCAGTCTTGTTGGGAGTGTTTTCTCGAATGTGAGTAAAGGTTGGGCATTTTTTCCAGTTTGCCTTGCCATGGATTACAGAGGTTGACACATATAGGGACTTTCCAGTTATCAAGCAGTTGTGTTGTTCTTTTACCCTTGTGGGTAATAGTAGGGTAGCTAGACCTTCAAAATTTATGTGTTTAAACTTTGTCAGAGATCTTTGGCAAAGTTATATGTGGTACCCGAGGAGCTGATGTTACGTGTGGAAAGTGGTGCCTCTTCGAAATCCGGAGAGTACTGCCTCTTTGATTTTTCAACCAACGGCTATGTTGCCCTTTCTTTGCTATTCATTTACCCTTCTTGGTCATAGTAATGTAGTAGGAGCTGCAAGCTTCACGTGTCTAAACTTTGTCAGAGATCTTTGGCAAAGTTATCTGTGGTACCCGATGAGCTGATGTTGCGTGTGGAAAGTGGTGCCTCTTCAATTTTTGAACCAACGGCCATGTTGCCCTTTCTTTGCTATTCATTTACCCTTCTTGGTCATAGAAATGTAGTGGGAGCTACAAGCTTCACGTGTCTAAACTTTGTCAGATATCTTTGGCAAAGTTATATGTGGTACCCAATGAGCTGATGTTGTGTGTGGAAAGTGATGTCTCTTCCAAATCCGGAAAGCGATGCCTCTTCGATTTTTTAACCAACGGCCATGTTGCCATTTCTTTTATAAGGGCACCAATTGTGTGTAAGAAGTACATTCAGAGAGTTATTGTTTGTAAGAATTTTTCCCTTATTTTTGTACTTCAGAGATTTATTAGACCTCATTTATCCTTCATCATTTCTGAAAATGTTTGGCCCATCCGACCGTCGTTTTGACTTGAACTTTGGTGAAGAGGTAGCTATGTCTCCTTAAGACAACATATGGCGCCCATCCTTCTTATCCCCTACTGGTCATCTTACCGTTAGAGACTATGTGATGAAAAATGATATGACCGCTGCGGTGGTGGCCGAAAACCTTCTCACTCCCAAAGATAACAGACTACTTTCCAAACGGTCTGATGAGTTGGCTGTTAAGGATTCCCTGGCTTTCAGTGTTCAGTGTGCAAGTTATGTGTCTAATATGGCCCAACACCTATTTGCTCGAACCCGCCAAGTTGAATCATTGGCGGCTGAAGTGATAAGTCTCAAACAGGAGATTAGAGGCCTCAAGCATGAGAATAAACAGTTGCATAGGCTTGCACATGACTATGCTACAAACATGAAGAGGAAGCTTGACCAGATGCAGGAATCTGACAGTCAGATTTTACTTGA